CAACGAGCTATGACTTTTTCTTACTTACTTGTTCTATGATTTCTCATTTATGATTGCAGATTTTGTAAAATCAAAATAAATATTAGAGAGAGAAAAAAATCAAATTTCGGGAAAAGCAGATGATACTGCTGATTAAAAATAAGAGCGAATATTTTTCAACGCAGATTTCTAAAAAAAAAATTTATATACTAACATTGTCAGACAAACAATAAACAATTTTTAACAATACTTGTGCCGTAACAGTGGTTATAGCTCTGTTTCTATACCATAAAACTCTATTGTTGCACGTTTAGAATAATTTTAAATCTTTCTTCCCTTTTTTGCCGCCATAATGAGTAATTGTTGTATGCAACAAAACAACATCTGGACCATACTCTGGTTTGTGGTAAAAAAAACAATTATAGCAACTGCTACTAGAAATATATAAAATGTAGCTTAAAATTATGGAATGATTTATTAAAATTAATTCTTTTGATTGAAATGGAATTGTTTCACACCCTCAACGAACATGTTAAGAGTTGAATTAATAAAATTTTACATCTAAACTTTATTTTTAAATGTAAATTATTGTTGAAAATGTAGAGGTAAAACCAGTATCCACCGTTAAATTTTGTTTTTAAAAGAGACATTTATAACATATACTAAAAATAATTTTTAAGAATCGATGTGTTAATTTAAAATGAAAGAAACTTAAAATGATGACTTCTGATGAGAAAAAAATAAATTGTTCTAAGAAATAATTCAACGATAAGAAGAGTACTCGTAAATGGTTTAGATGAGCAAATAATATATAATTAAGCCATTAAACTGTAATTAAATATTAATAAGCAGTCTGATGAGTGTTATGTTATCAGAGCACTGTAGCGCCATTTGTACAAATTTGTAAAATGTTCACAATCCACGCAACAATTCGACGAAATAATGAGTTCTTTATTAATTAATATTCAATACATTTCCATTCGGAATAAAAGATATAAATATTTTATACATTGCCAGTTCTGGAACAGCTTATATATATTTATCCATGGCTGAAGCAAGATTTTATTGGATCTAATACTACAATTTGTAGAGATTGTCCTCGCGATTTGTCATGTTCACAGCAAAGTTGAGACAAAATGGAAAAACTGGAGAGTTTAAACCGATATACATATATATTATATGCTACATATTATATTACATATACATATATATATATATAGAAAAAGTTCAAATTTATAATTTCGAGTCGCTATAGCGCCAAAAAATTGCGATTGGTGCAGATTTAAATAAAAAAAAAACAACAGTCATTCAAATTTGAAAATAACTTTCCATCGCTTAAAGAGTTTAAATATTCGAAAAAGTGACGAGTTTCGTTGATTCTTCGTAAAGTTTTGCTCTCACATTTATTTTAATGCTACAATGTGAAAACACTTGCAATGACTACTGTTTCATAAGAAAACAAATTTATCTCTCTTTTTAGAAAATGTCTTCCGAAAATGAAAATCCTGTAAAATTTATAAAAAAAGCAATATATTCACAATTTTTTTAAAATCAAAAGTAACTTATTAGTTTCCAAGGATCCGTAATGACTGCAGAGGTATTCGAAATAACTCCAGATCATTTTTTTTTTTTTTTTTTTTTTTGTAAAAATAATCAGCGTCGTTCAGTATCAGCTTAAGTAATTGATTTGAATTCATTCCCAATTATTTGAATTCCAGTTTCCTCCCAGTACAACGAAACGTGATTAATGTAGATAGCATTGAAATTAAGAAGTAAGAACAAATTTACCTCTCTTTCCAGAGTATGTCTTCCAAAAATGAAAATCCTTTAAAATTTATAAAAAAAATTCAATATCTTCACAATTTTTTTTTAAATTCAAAAATAACTTAGTTTCCAAGGATCAGCAATGACCGCAGAGGTATTCGAAATAACTCCAGATCGTTTTTTTTTTTTTTTTTTTTCTTTTTGAAAAAATGATCAGCGTCGTTCAGTATCGGCTTAAGAAATTGATTTGAACTCATTCCCAACTGTTTGAATTCCAGATTCCTCCCAATACAACGAAACGTGAATAATGTAGATAGCAACGAAATTAAGATGTGTAGTGAATGGACTGGATTAATTACATTTAATACAAACCCCGATGAAAGGAATAACAGATGGTTGGGGATAGAGAATGAATTGATTGATTGGTTTGATTATCGTCGCATCAGAAGAAACAGGAGGGCTATTGACAGAGTACCCGAGGAAACCGAGCTCACCCAAGGGGATTAAAGCTACAAATCGGCCCTCGGGGAGACAATCCGCCCCCCCCCCCCCACTCAGCATTTACTGAGAAAAAAAAATAAGATGTCAGATAATTTCGAAATCAGTAGTAAATAAGATTTACAATGTATTTACGTAGCAGAAAATGTGCATCAGGGGAATTAAAAAAAATAATAGTAGCAATTTTCCTACAGAAATAAGATCCATAACAGGCTAAATGGCACAATATAAAAGCGTCTACTAACTCGTGAACAAATATGAAGGGTTAGTCAAAAATATGAACATATTTACAAGGTATAAAATAATAGCTATATATTAAGGAAAATTGAAATATTAAAAAATGTAATAAAAACTGAAATAATTCAAAAATTTGTTGAGTATTTTTAAGAGTCGTAAGCATACAGGATTTAAGCTTGAAATAAAATTAAAGAATTTTCACTAACGCCCTAGTAAAATGGCGAGAGAAAACGTAGTAATCAGTATCGCCAACAGAGTCACAGGGATATAAAATTACATTTTTTAAATTAAAATGAAAAAATATAAAAAAGGGGACTATGACCAGTTTAGAAGCGAGTCATAAAACCAGAATTTGAATAAGAACTTAGTACTCAGTAAAATACCAGATTTACAATTTGACCAGCAGACCTCCCTGTCAGAAAGGAGCTTATTTTTTTAAATCATAACTATGTGAGAACGAGGGCCAGGGGCATTCACTCCTTCACCATCAGAGACAGAGAGTTTTGTAAATGAATCTGGGGTTTCGTTCTAATAATCTCAGACGTGTGCTCGAATCCAATGTAAGTGGTAAAAATCAGAATAAGCTGTTATTTTTCTTTAATGGTATTGATTAAACTTGATTTATTTCTGGCACTCTTCATTAGCAATATTGATGCTATACTGTCGGAATTAATAAAAATTTTGAAGGTATGAGAGACAGCCACAAAATGGCAAATCCGATTGCCGAAAGCTCTGCCTGGAAAACTGAATAAAAAGAATTCTGTTTAAACATGTATGCACTATTTAGGACACCCTGGTGGAAGACACACACTTCAAACCCAGTTTCGGACCCGATCCTTGATCCGTCGGTGTAAATCTCCCAATAGGAGGGCCCCAAAATTTGAACCTCGGCCATATGATGAAGGACGACTCCTAAGCAGGTATCTCTCTCTCCTAGCTTCCCCACTACGCTAACGAGAGGACATTGAGCATCGACTGGATTTAACGCACTGTCCCATGCTATACAATGGGTATTTAGTGGCATCAAGGTTCGAGTCCACGACTCTACGAAAATTGCCAGCCCTCTTGTCTGACCATGACCACTAGGCTACCACGGCCACACAGTGGAAATCAGATGAGACGCCGTCAAAAGCTATTCGTAATTTAAGGAGAGATCGAAGAGATCCTAGGATGAATATTTAACCAGTCCAGGATTCCATTACCAAACTAGATTTCGAATAAGAACTCGAATTCAGTCGTTAAAATTGGATAAGTAAAACTATCGTTTAGAAAAAACTGTTAAGTTCTACCAAGATTTAAACCCGGATCGCTGGATTCAAAGTCCCTATTACACCACGGAACCATTTGCCTTATTCTTACATATTCTTTTGAACTTCGTAATAGAGCAATTGCTTCACGGTAACGGATTTAATCTGATATCCCCATAAGTTAATGCCAAATGTTCTCACATATAGCAAAAAAACCCTTTCAATAGTCAGTTTTTATTGCTTTATACATCCTGAGTAGTAAGTGAAAAGTTAAATAAGAATATATAAATATATATTTTTGGCACTTTTTTTTTTTTTTTTTAGTTCTATACTCTAAATAAAGCTGAAAATAAACTGCATATTTTTTTTTATCAGAATCTTGGACAAAGAACTATGTGAACATGAAATGACGCACTAATGCAAATATTTCTTTTCCCTACAACAATGTATTCCTACAAAATCGTATAAAGAGCTCCATGAGTATGCAAGCAAAACAAAACTGGTTGTCCTTCGTTTAGAGATCAGAGAATTTCCGGTTCTATGATATTTGTTAATAATCGATGAGCCCTCGACATAGGTAGCTAATTATTTCTTGTCATTCAACATGAATTGGAAACCTATAATAAAAAAATCTTCAAACTTAAGGCTCCCGTCTACCGGCCATCTTGATTTCGTGGACGTAATGTTAATCTTTTGGAATTTCTACTTTTGCTCTCAAATGTTTACTATTTGATCTATTTGAATGCAATAAAGTGCATCTGAACGAACAAAAAATATTGAAGGCTTTTGCGGAATTACTTTTTCCCACCGATTTCTAAAAATATTTTTATCCCAATTTTGAGGATTCCTTTGTGAAAATTTCTAGTTCTTAAAAATATTAAAAAAAATTTTTTTAAAAAATAACAATATTTTTTTTTAAAGTTTAATGATGTCTTCATTCCCTGTAATTTTCATTCTACCTTTTTCTATTCTAATACTTTTTGTATTACTAATTTTGTTACTTCTGTTTTTAAAATATTTCTATATATATTCGCTTTAAATATTTTATTTTTACTTATCACATACTCTCTTGTGTGTGGGAGTGAGTGAGTGAGAGAAAGAGAGATTGACAGAGAGAATACTATATAATAAAAAATTGTTGTTGGAGGTTTCTCATTACATTAGATTGAAAAGTCAAATTTTCAATGTGTTCTAATGCTTTTTTTTCCCAACTGTATTTTGAATAATTATCCTTCATTTTTCAAAAAAATTATACTACGGGTAAAAGAAAAAACCAGGATACAGCGGGATTTGAATTCGGATCACTGAATTCCAACTTCAGCGTACTAACCATTATACCACAAAACCACTGGTATCAGCTGCACAGGTGTATTTTGAATCTCATTACCGATCAAAGTTTCTAGATGAGCGCGAACTGAATTAATTTTCTCACGCGATCTAATCGTAGGTATTTACGACTCCATTGTCTATCAGAATAAATAAATTTAAGGAATACTTACATTTCTTCTAATTTATAACTTCTAATAAAGAGTAAGATAATACTGGTTCATTAAATATTGAAAAGAAAATCAAATACCCTATGGCCCCTTTTAGAAAACTAATTTTATCATATGAAAACTCGGTCACACATACTTTCTTGCTGCTTTTACGCTTCCTGCTATTAAAAAGCACAAGAAAAAAAAGAAAGCATTTATAAAAGATCATCAAAAAAAGTATTTCTAAAATTATGGTGTGAGTCAGTGCATTTGTATGAAAAAAAAATGAAAAATTCACCTAATAAGATGTTTTTTTAATGCCCTGCTTGAAACATTTTTCAATCACATAGTTAAACAAAGATTAGAACTTTTTAAGAATTTAAGGCTTGAAAACATCAATTCCTTTACTTATATATATTTAAGTTAGTTATTAATATTTAAGCAAAAGAATTTTAGAGATTATATCTATTTAACAATTTTTAAAACAGTAAGAGTTCTCAAAATTTAATTGATAAGCATTGTGCAAGAGAGAGTAATTACTTTAGAAATATTCAAACTAATTTGAACAATTGTTGTTCAATTTGAATTTCAGTTGCAAAATAGCAAAGGTAATTAATCATTTTTCAGGAGGAATCTTCTAATTAAGTACAGGCTACAGATTCATCTAAGATGTCTTCTACTTCAAATGTATTTCTTCTTTCATCAACGTTGGTATAATGCAAACACGAATGAAATAAAACTGTGATGGAAGACAATTAGATATGCTGAATAGATTGAACATAAAATTATGCACAAATAAACAGAAAAATATTATATTTAGTGTATGTTTTTTCCTGATTTCACAAATAATAACAGATTATTACTAATGAATAACTGAATAAATAATAATAATAATGTATAACTAATAATACACGTAATAACACCATCCTGTCATTCGTTTCAGAAGTCATATCAACGTAAAATAGTCAATAGAGAAAAGTCCGAGTAGTGGACATTCCCACAGTATAAAGCTCAATTAATATAACTGCCGAATCAAACTAAGTTTGCGATCAAATTTTGAATGTGTTTCTCTTAATAAACTATTTCTTTCTCTCTCTCTCGCTCAGTCCACTAATCCTTAATGCGCCTGAATTATAACTTGGAATAATACTCTAATTTTATTTTTACTTCAATCCCGCTTAATAAGTTAATTCTTCTTAGTTATTAATCGGGTTAGAGAAAGTAATATCACTAAGGTTGATAGTTCGAGCATGAAATTCGATTTCTTCCTGAGCTAAATAACTTCACAAAGGATCCTTAATCGAAGTCAGTTACCGATAATCGCTTATTAGACTGCATTTTCTATTATATTCCAGCTACCCATTACTCTCTACTAATTCTAATATTAAAAGTTCTCGTAACTTAGTTATATATGTGTCTCATTAAATCCTTTCATTACACTTCTTACATAGAATTTATTCTGCGTACGTCACGTTTCATTTGATAGGAATTACAAATATTATCAGAAAGAGAACACAGGTGTTAGCTGAAGCGAAATAGGTGAATAGCCCATGTTATATCTGTGTTAAAATCGGACGACAAAATCATGCGTGCTTCTATTCAAATAATATGTTCTTAAAATGTATTCCTTATTTTACTCTGTGAGTAGAAAACTTGCCAAAACACGTCCGAATCATCGTTTAAAACATCTAATTAATCTATTTCCTTCTTACTTAGTTCGAGTGAATAGAATAGTTGGAGTTGAGGTTTCTAGTCCTTAACTGTTCTTCGCTTCTTCCTATTCAACGCAGGTCTGCTACCGATGCTTCACTTGTGAACATCAGCTCGAAATCCACCAAACTCAGAATTGAATTATTCGCTCCTTACATAGGCGTCATTAAATTACGCCTAATCAAATGTACATTCATTACTCCTTGCTAAATCTGTCTACACAAGTCATGTTTCATTCGTAGGAAGGAATTTTGAGTTCAAATGCAATCAGCAAGAGTTTCTGGAAAGGAAAAATCCTGATAGAGCGCAACGTATCATCTTTTCGGATTTATCAAATACATTACTTACAGGGAACAAAAATTAAATCTTTCTAAGACTTAAATTAAATCCTTATGGAATTTATTGCTCCGTGTAAATTTGGAATCAATGCTAATTCATCCAATTAATATAAAATCTCTACAACTATCACACTTCTTACGTGGATCTCATTTTGGAATCCTTCTTGACGACGAAAATTTTGGTTGGCGATCAATCGCTGAATTAGTTACTTTTTTCTGGTAACCCTACTTTCAATGCAATAACTGGCTTTAGATAGGCTAATGGCTTATATATATATATATATATATATATATATATATATATATATATATATTTATTTATTTATATATATATATATATATAAATGCGGTTGGTAATCTAGTGTTCATTACAAAATCACACAGCCTAGGAGTAGTATCTTAGTTTCATCGTTAGCTAACAGTACCGAGATTTTCAATGGTGTTGTCGAAAGAAGGAAAAATCAGCATAAAAAGAATACTTTAAAAATTATTCCTGGTCTGAAAGCAATGAACATCAAATTTTTTTTTGTTAAACGTGGTCGGCAGCCAAAATCCCACAGTCTAGGTGGAATATCAGTTTCATCGTTATTTAGTTGAAAGAGCTTCACAATCGTCTCCGTCAAAGGTCAGTGATTTTTTTCTCATTCTTTTTTAATTGGATTTAAATATATATTATTTAATTCATTCTTACACTTCTGTTTTACGACATGAATACTTCGGAAATAGTCGTTTCTGTTTTCTGTTGAAACGCCTTTGAATTTAAAAAAAAAATGTCCGTTTAGAGGCATTTTGGCGCGATTTTAAAACTCGCCTTTAGCAGTATATAATTAGAGGTGACATAGCACATAAATACTTATGCAAGTAAGGGTTTGATTCAATTGATTTGAAGGAAAAAAAGAGCTTCAATTAAAAAGATGTTTCGAAATTATTGCAAGCAATACATGTTATCTCAGCAATAATTCGATTTTGTAAGCAATGGTTCAGCAAAGTTACAAGAAGGATATTCACTAAACAGAATAAAACATTGAAAACATTATTATGCTTGCAGTAAATAACAGTGTTATTTTGTTTAGAAAATAAAAGAGGTGGCAATTCAAATATAATTTTCTTACGGGGAAAAACGATAAGGTTCCACCACAATTTAATGTCGAATCACTGGATTCGGAGTCAAGCATACCAACCATTAGCAATGAAACCACCTGCTTTCGCTTTCTCAGTTTATTTTGACTTGCATGATTATGAAACAAAATGGAAAATATATGGAGACTTAATTTGACTCTCTCTCTCGTCCTTAACTGTTGTTTGCGTCGAAAAAAATTACAAAGCAACCATTCAAATAAAAATGCTCGATTTAATGCTTTTCAAGGAGAAGGATACAGAACAAACAAACAAAAAATTTTATTGATTATTTCTGAAACAGATCGTATAAAATCATGACAAAATTCTAGCAAATGTTTCGAATATTTACGATTATTTCAACTTATCTCAAGATATTCCTTTTGTAAGAGTTAAAAATTGATAGAAAGATAGAAAAAATGGCGACCAGGTTCCACCGAGATTTGAACTCGGATCACTGGATTCAAAGTCCAGCGTGCTAACCATGGAACCGCCTGCTTCATTTGCACTATCATATCTTGAGCTTCAATAGTAAATAAGAAACGATTACTGAATAAGAAACTCCCAAGAATGTTCTCACAATATGCAACTCACGCAATCTTCCTGAATACATATTTACATCTTTAAATTCGAATGTTCTCCATATTGTTTATTCAAGAGTAAGGAGATAGAGCTGAAGAAAAAAGTACCATGTACTTCTTGAAATTTTCTTCAAAAGATCAAATGGCGTACGAAAAGTCATGAAAAATGTTTTAAAACTTATAAACATTTTAAACTTGTTTCAAAATGTACCTTTTTCCAGGTTTTGTGACTTGTGTAACTTTTATCTGTTTGTTTTCAATGCCCTGTGTTTGTGAAAATATAATTTGTGTTAAGTGCAGAAATAAGTTCTTGTTCAAGTATAAGTTCTGTTATAAGTGTAGAAAAACATACATAATCCTTTTTTTAACCAGTTCCGAAAATGATGTTTAAACCATTACAGACCTTTTACTTAATGGCAAAAGAGATTGAATAACCATCTCTTTCTTAGATTCGAAGCAAATAAATGTTCTAATTTTGAATAAATATCGTGGGGACGCGGAAGACCAGTGGTCATAGCCACAGTTTGGGCATCGATTCCTCTAAAGACATACCGTATAACAGGGTCTGATGCACGTTATATCTGACGAAGCTCAAAGTCTCCCCTTTGGACTGGTGTGGAAGTTAGGAGTGGGAGGTGCCATCTCAGGTGTTGTCCTCGTTGTTAGCCCGAAGTGCAAATTTACGAGGTCCGCCACAAATAGCAATTGTGTTGCTTCTAGTGTGACGTTGATAAATCCAACCAATCACACCAATAAATATAAAAAAATCCACTAAATTTAATAATGTTTTCAATGTAATGTTTTCCATAAATATGTATATCTACAGCAAATATAAAATTAAATATATTCAAATAAGTAAAGAAATTCTTAAAGATGAAGTTGACAGAAAGATCGAGAATTGAGCTCGGATCCCTGGATTCAAAGTCCAGCGTACCTACCAATCATTACACCATAGATCCACATGTTTTATTATTCCTCCTCTGTCTTTGATTTCCTATTTTTGTTACCCGCTTGCTCGAATTAGGGTAGTCGCGCAAATTGATTGCATGTGCTTGCATCGAGCAAAGATTGAATGACATTCGTAAGACTTTTTGAAATGCTTGCTTTCTGAATGAAAAAAACTCTCATCCCAATGATTTTAATATAGTTTTTGAATTACCCATAAAAGTAACTTTCAAAGGTTTTCTACACCGAAATATATATTCTATTGTTTTAAAATTATTTTAAACAATATCTTTCTTCGAATCAATTTAAGAATGGTTTTTTTGAAAGAAAAAGAGAAACAAATTCTCTGTCCTTTTGATATTCTGTAAAGGCATAATTTTATACCTCTACATGTGATTCGAACCCTCAACTGAAAATGGAAAAATTTAAGAATTTCAGAAAATGTATTCGTAAAAAAGACTTCAAGGAAAAATGAAGTAATCTACAAGCCTGTTGAGAACAATTAAGAAAACAATAATAAACAATAAAAAACTCAATTAAAATCATGTAATTTAAAATTTCGTTGCAAAGAATACTGCCATTGATTATGTTGAACATAAAAATAATAATAACACATGGATCAATAAGTTCCGAGACTAACCCAGAGATGGCGCTCGTAGTAAACCAGTAACCAGGTCTTTCTAGAGTACGAACCTTTGCTTGAAACGTGTCAAAATTTTAAGTCGATCGGACCAGAAACAGCTGAGTTATCGAGGTTGGAGTAAAGTCGTTTTGTAGTTTGTTTAAAAAATGGAAAAAACCGAGTTTCGTGTTCTGATAAAACATTGTTTTTTAATGGGTAAAAACACCGTGCAAGCGAAACAATGGATTGAAAAATGTTACCCGGACTCTTGTCCATCAAAAGCAACGATTTGTCGGTGGTTTGCCGAGTTTAAATGTGGTCGTACCGACACAAATGACGCGGAACGCTCGGGTAGACCTGTGGAAGCCGTTACACCGGAAAATGTGAGTGAAGTGACAAAAATTATAATGAAAGATCGTAAAGTGAAGCTCCGTGAGATTGCTGAGATGACACAGATATCATATGGAAGTGTATTTACTATCCTTCATGAAAAATTGAGCATGAAAAAGGTTTTTTCCAAGTGGGTGCCGCGATTGCTTTCGATGGAACAAAAACAGCAACGAGTCGATGATTCAGAAAGCTGTTTATCGCTATTTACTCGCAACAAAAAAGATTTCTTGCGTCGTTACGTGACCATGGACGAAACATGGATACATCACTACACTCCAGAGTCGAAGCGGCAGTCATCTGAAGCTGGCGAAAGCCGTCCGAAAACGCAGCAGTCAGCTGGCAAAGTCATGGCGTCAGTTTTTTGGGATACGCATGGCGTGATTTTCATTGACTACATCGAAAAAGGTAAATCGATCAACAGTGATTATTATATTGACTTGCTGGTGCGTTTGAAGGAGGAAATCGCAAAAAAATAAAACGACCGCACAGTCTCGGGACTTATTGATCCATGTGCAAGACTCCTTACCCAAAGACTCCTCCTCCCAAGAAAAAGCAATGGGGTTTTTTTTGTTCCAAAAAAAGTTTCTAAAATTTCAAATAATGTTTCGCTTTATTCTGTAACAAAGGAATTTGCACGTTTTATTTTAGCAACGGCCTAGAAAAGGAATTGAATTCCTCATTTTGTGAAGACTACCCTTCATTCTTTAATTCAACTCCGTTGTTCCATTTAATTAAAAATTGTTAATAAGAACGACCTTCGAATAAAAGATATGCAACATTTACAAAATACATTATTTATCAATGAAGCGTAGGTAAGGTCGATCTCTCTCGAATACCGATTAACTCAACAATCCTAGATTATAATTGAAAAAATGAAATCATAGTTTACCAATTCACTGGTTCTAATTTCAATAACTTCACAAAAAAGTCTGTTCTTATCTTAAAATTTAAACTATATTTCGCTTCAATACACATATTTAATTAAGATCCTTCAATACAAGTTATAAATTTCTATCGGCAATTCGTGATCCTTTGTCTCCCTTCGTTTCTATTTCAGTTCTTTTTCATTTATATATCATTATCAGTAATTCATTTCACTGCACTTCTATTATAATCTAATTTACCTAATACTGTTTCCGTTTGGTTGGAAAAAAACTGAAATTTTGTGCAGTTTAAAGTGTTATAAAGTACCCGAGGTTAGCGAGGGTAAAAGTGCGGATAGCCCAACGCCATAAATTCTCCTTATTTTGATTATATGCATTTTCTCAAAAAGATTTTGTGTGTAAGTTCGTTCGAAGTTCATTCAATTTTCACTCAGAAGCCACAATACTTTAAAGTATATTTTTTATTTTGTATCATAAAGAAGAACACATTTTGGCCTTTAATTACATTTATAATTTACTTAAATATTTCATAACTTAAATAACAATTAGATTTATAAATTTTTAGAAAATATTTGCTACCTTAGTTCTAAGATTTCACCCCCTTTTCCACTATTAATGTTTCTATTCAAACACCTACGGATCAAATTATATTATGTCCAAATATGAGTAGAAATTTTATTATTTAAAATTTTAAGCCACAAGGAGCAATTTAAAAATATATAAACTAAAGATGAAGTACTTGAATGATTTTTTATGTAAGAATCTTCATATAATTCTTTTTCCGTGATAAAAATATAATTTTTTTATACTAAGTTTCTTAAAAAAATCGATAAAAATCGGAGATTTAAAATTTTGTGTCCATTATCACCTCAATACTTATGTTCGTAATTTCTTTCTTGTGCGGCACAATTTCGTCCTGCTGTGGCATCTATTTCGCCGCAGTGTCTTACATATATATTAGCTTTTTTTAAAAAAATTTGAAATAAAATGCGAGCGATATCTAAAAATAATTTATTTTGATCAGATATTTTCATAATCGCTAGTTCTAATTTCTTACATATTCTCTCTCAAAGGAACAAAAATATTCCAGGAAAATAAACTCAAAGTTGTGCAGAGAAATGCCAATTATATTTGTCTTATGATATACATTTCAAAACTTTTTTAAAAAAAAATATGAAAAAGATTACGAGATTCTGTATTCAAATCTGCGTGAATGACGTCAGAATATATGCCAGGTGTTATTCGTTTCGAATTCTGAACAAGCTGGAATCATTTTGGCATCTTTAACTAATACTAAAAAACTTCAGAATTTTCGTTATCCTATTTTTCTGTACTTTAACACAAAATGTTTTATTCATTACGAATATTTAGAAGTCCACTCTCCTAATTTTCTTATTTATCTCACCGCCCATTTCTCAACTGCATTGAAATCAAAACTTTTGCAACTTTGACTTTCAGATATTTATTTACTTTTCATTTAGTCTTTTGAAATTTTATTTAATGCAACGTATGCCATTTCTACGTATATAACTCCAAACAAATTAAGGATGATATTAGTTTTAATAATAAACTATAATTTAACACAGAACTGAATTTAAGGTTTGAAATAATTACTTCTACGGGTCATATTAATGTAATTTATAGACGAATCATCGAGAATATATTTGCATTTCTAAATTTTAATATTGCAAACATCTTGAAGCAACGTAATGAACAAATCCAATTTGAATACAACATTCAGGATTTTAAAAAGTTATCACTGCTAGAAAAATGACATTTTACATTACTAATAAATGAAGGTCGTTAAAGAAAATGGAGACCTATTTTAAATTTTGCAGTGCTCATCGCTTCTGTATAAACTTTTAATGTTTGCTTATGGTTCGAAACTCTAGTGAAATGAATTACGACATTTTCAATGAAACAAAAACCTGATTCTGAGACCAAAAGGCTTTTAGCACTCCCAGGGACCGTAATGGTTGCTGCACCCATGTTACTGAAACTTCGAATGACACGCAAAAAACACTTTTCTACTTCCTCGCGGGCAATATTGACAGGGTTATAAGCTTAACAGGGACATAATTAAGATTCTGA